TCAAGAAAGATATTGGTGAAAATGAAAAATATGTCTTTATTTTATGGAAGGAACTAAACGGCCCTAACTGGTGTAGCTCAGTGGATTGAATACCAGCCTGCAAACCAAAGGATCGCTGGTTTGATTCCCAGTTAGGGCACATGCCTAGGTTGCAGGCCAGGCCCCCAGTAGAGGCATCCACACATTGATGTTTCTCCTTCTCCCTCTCTTCCCCTCTCTCTAAAAATAAATAAGTAAAATCTTTAAAAAAAAACAAACAAAACTAAATGGACTTTTTGGCCCACCCAATACATCTTACCCTCTCCTAGGAAATTCTTTGCTTTCTCTGACATTAATTAGCCTCTCGGGGTCTACCATTTAAAACTAAAACCAAAACAAAACCCTGATCTTTGGTCCTACACCTGCCTTTCTTCTCTTAGTGCTCAGATTTCAGTTAACTACTTTGTTTCTTTTCCCTGTTGCCCCAAATCACTGATTTCCCTGTTGCCTCAAATCACTGATACAAATCTTGCACTCCAGCAGACTGTTCTTGATAAAGGCATTCTAATAACCCAACTACTAGATCCTTCCACTCACTGCTGACTTCACTGAGGTAATTACTACTCCTGCTTAATGCTTTTCTCCTCCACAATGTCCGTGTAAGGAATGTCCGACCTTTAGAGAATTTTTTTAAGAGTTTGGCCAAACTAACAACATGTCTGGAAACAAGATGTCAAATGATCCTGAGAATGACAATTTTGCAGTTTCTTTTTATACTATACATTTAGATTTAAGGAACATTGCATGAAGATGGGAGAAGGCAAGGCAGGGACTGGATTACAGGTTAAGCAACAAAGTATGCATTCTTTTGAGGATGTCTACCCCTCTGGGGGGTCTGAAAAGAGGATTATTCTAGCATTTCAAAGGTGTGTTAATACCCTAGATGCATAAGAAAATAGACAGGGCTTGCTTAAGGTAAAGATAAATGTTTTACTAGAGAGGTTATATGCCTGGGACAAGACTACCCACCCTGATCTGCCCAGTTAGGAAAGTAACTCTGTGAGGTTACTTTTGATCACTGGACTTGTCAGATTTATTACAGAGCCACACTCACCCCTGCAACCCTTTTTTTGTCTACAACAGATACTCTATTCCATCTTTTCAGTACTTCACTGATTCAGTCTGTTTTTACCTATACCTCCTTTTAAAATATTTTATTTATATCATTTCAAACATATACGAAAATATGGAACTAAAGTATAGGACAGTGAATCTCTGTGCCCGTCACCTAGATTGAACGATTACTAACTTTAGCCAGTCTTTTTTTAAGTAACTATCTTCACCTACTCATCTCTCTCTACTCTCAATTCTTTCCTCTACCAACCTTCAAGTGATGCTGTTCCCCTGGGACCCATCCTAAATACTCTTTTCTTCTGATGCCACATACAACCTATGGAAAAATTCACACATGCTAACAGTTCCTACCATCTCCAAATACTGATACCTAAATATATTTCTTTACCTTAGGTCTTGTTCTTAAGCAAGAGGGTTGTAGTCACTGGATTATCTTTACTTGTGTGCCCCACAGATTCTAAAAGAAGACAAGATGAACTAATCTTTCTCTGTCTACTTGCTGCTTTTCCTAAAGTACGTTTTGGTTAATCAGTATCCATCTTCTGCCAGGGGTGTCCAACCTTTTGGCATCTCTAGCCACACTGGAAGAAGAAGAGTTGTCTTAGGCCACACATTAAATACAAAAACATTAATGAAAACTAATGAGCAAGAAAAGGTTTTAAGTAAATTTACAATTTCGTGTTGGGCCGCATTCATAGCTACCCTGGGCCAGGAGTTGGACACCCCTGTTAGTCCTACTCAAATATACCTAGTCCCAATCCTTTGTAAATTTATTTGTCTGCTCATCATGTCCTATCAGCTTTTTTTTTAGTAAATTCATAACTTACCTTGTTGCCTGCAGGCTCATGACTTCCTCATGACACTATTTGTGATTTATATAAAACACAAGCTTAACTATTGTATTTGCTCATTAAACCCTTAAATGTTTGACTGGTTCTTATGTGATGAATAAGACACTACTTGATCTAATCCTTGCCTTGCTTTTCATTGTCATTCTTTCCTCTTTCCTGAATGCTCACTATGTATTCAGAGGCTAGAAAATGGTTTTTACATCTCTAGTCATCTCTTCTTCTTTGTATGGTGAATTCTGATCTTCCTTCAAGCTCTAGTCTAAGGTATATAATAAATAAATTCTATAAAGTATTATAATCCCTATTGTTTCTATAGTTTACAAGCTTAAGAAGATGAAGCACCTTACCTGCCCATCATTGTAGATCCAATAAGTGGCAGACCTTGGTTGTAAGTCAAGGTTATCTTACTTCAACCCTTCCACCATACCTCATACAAGAATGTTAGCTTGAAGTTTTGGACCTTATATTGTGTGCAGTAAGACTATCAAATATATTTGAGCTAGGAAATCTGTAGTTCTATATTATAAAGATAGAGAAACTAAATAATATATGCCTTGAAATCTGTTCTTTGTAAGTATTATCATTCTAAGTTTCTCTTTATATATTTAATGATGTAAAAATCAATGACAAAAGCAAAGACCAAGCTGTAATTCTAAATATATTTGTGCAAACATAAATGTTTTAGTATTCCTGTGTATTTTATTCTTATTTGATTTATATGTATAAAATATATCTGATTTTGGTTTTATTTTCTAATTATTGATCTCACCCAAAGGTCCAAATTTCATCTTTTTGAAAGTTGAAATTATAATATTGTTTTTACTTATAATTAAGAAACAAGGCCAAGAACTTTTTTTTTAATTGCAAACATTTTCCAGAATGGATCTGATAGCATGATTGCATTGAACTTAATAACGTGCTGCGGTCTGAATGCTTGTGTCCCCATAAAATTCCTATGTTGAAGTTCCATAAATACCCTTATAAAAGAAACCAAGAGATCCTATGTTCCACAGTGTGAGGTTATAGGGAGATGGCCGTATGTGAAGAAGCTGGTCCTCACCAGACACCAAATCTGCCAACATCTTGATCTTACACTTTCCGGCTCCTACAACTGTGAGAAAGAAATGTCTGTTGTTTATAAGCAACCCAGTTCCTGGTATTTTTGTTACAGCAGCCCAGATGGACTAAGAGGAAAGATGGTATTGGGTGTAGATTGTTAATAGGTTAATGTCAAATATCCTTCCAGTTGAAATCTAGTTGAATTATTAAAGTCTAGTTGAATACATTTTATTTCAACATGCTTAGGAACAATTATTTCATAGGATAATTTGATTTGAAAATGTAAGTGAAATGATTTTTTATACATCTTCATATTCTATTTTATTCATGAAGTTTTATTTATATATTTTTGATAATTCATTCAGCTGTAGATTTCTTTACTGGAGACACTGAGCTATTATATTAATAGATTTCATAGGATTAAATGGTATTTACGTTGCTGATCTAAATTCTACTTGTTTAGGTAGATACTTAAAATAATGATTTAAATACACTGTTGAAATCAGTTTGCTTTCACATCTGAGATTTTTGCAATTGATTTTTATACAACATTGATCCTAGTTTTCTTTTTTAAGTGTGTGTGTGTGTGTGTGTGTGTGTGTGTGTGTGTGTGTGTGAAAGTATATAGAGTCATCAAGTTGTCCACATCTTGAGGATAATAAGCTTTTAGTTTTTCACCATTAGATGCTAGCTGTGGGCTTTCACAGATTGCCTTTATTATGACGTGGTAATTTCCTTCTGTTCCTAGCTTGTTGAGTGGTTTTATCATGGCAGGGTGTTGAATTTTATCAAATGCTTTTTTTGTGCATCAGTAGAGATGATCATGCAGTTTTGTCCTTCATTCTGTTAATGTGGTGTATTGCAATAATCCTTTAAAATGCTGAAACACATATACTTAAGCACATGATACACAGTGCACATAGTGTTTAAAATCTTGGGTGTCTAAATAACTGCATAAGAAACTAACAGTTATTTGATTTGCCCTTTTAATATTGTACCATACCCAGAAATCAAAGCAAAATACATATTAAAAAGAGAAACAAATTGCAATGAAAATAGAAGTGTGCATATGTAGAAAAGTGAGAAATCAGTATTTTTTGTTGCTCATTTTCTTAATTTATATCCTTGAAAATTAGAATTTCCATTGTTACAAGTACAAAACCAAAACTTTATTACTCTGTTTTGTGACAGTAGTCACATTTGAACATTAGGCAAATTGTACTGATATTATTAAGGTGAACCATGTGAAATTGTCATTTTTGTACTTCAAAAATAGAATATTGGCAGTCTGACATTGTACACCACACATGTGTAAAAGTACCTTAAAAATACTCAATAAAATTTCTAGAAGTGTAATTCTGTTTCAAGTATTAAAGTATTTTGTCTTGATTTAACAAATAATACTTTAAAAAACAAAAACGAAAACACTCAATCTTTGTTTCAGACAGTACTCTCTTCTAATTGATGAATTTTATCCTGGTGGTTATTCTTGGTATAAGCATGTGTTGTCCATCATTTTGTTATTTTTACAGAAATTGCCTTTTTTACATCAAAGGGTGATAACAAAAATTGTAATAACAAACATTCTCTGGGGGTTAATTATATATCAGAAACTGCTCCAAGACTTAACTTTTATAGACTTCTTAAATCTTCATAATAATCCTGCAGTGTAAGTACTGTTACCATTTCCATTTCACAGATGGGAAGGAGACACAGAATGAGTAAGCAGCTTGTCCCAGGCTCATGCAGCCAGTAAGTAGCAGAGAGTATCAGAGCAGGATAATGACTGTTTAAACACCTGAATGTGAAATATGATTTCAGTCATCTATATATTTCTCCTTAGGCCCTTAATAATTCTGTTGTTTGATGGATGTCTTAGAAATCTTTATTTCAATACATTTTAAATAAATTTTCACATTATATCTTACCCATTATAATTTTTTGAAAAATTAATGAATACATCCTTTTGGGTCACAGGATGGACAGTCTGAAATTTTGTACACGTTTTGGAATTCGGTGACTCTAGCACTTCATTCTCAATTTCAAATGGCAACAGATTGTAAGTACACTATGTATTTTGCGAATTCATTTCAAAGTTGGTTAGTTACTTTATAATTTAATGTCAAGAAGTTTTCCTCTATTGGTTTGTAAAACTTGCATCTTTTTAAAACTCCATATTAATTGTGGTTTATTAGGTTAGCCATATATTTAGATTTATATCAGCAGTAAGTTCATTTTTTTTACCTTTTCAAATAGTATCTTGAATAAAATTGTCCAAAGAATAAGTTAATTCTTCATAATTGTGTCTGAATTTTTCCTGTGTGTAAAGGGTGTAAAGCAATTGATGTTGAAGTATTTAGTTAATGCTTGTAGAATTATTTTCCTAACTAAAAAAATATTAAAATGAAAGACTTTATAGTTTTTTTCTTATAGTTAAACATGAAGTTTTAATGAATGAGCAGATGAAATACCCACATCATGAATTAAAAGTTGCTCATCAAAATATGATCCGCAAAACTTTCTTAATTTGTTTATGCCATGAAATAATTGTACAGGGTAGTTCTAAACAATGAAATAATACAAAACTAGCAAATATAATCACTGAATGTAAGAGTATTGAAGGTACCTAGGCTTTTTAAAAGCATTTTGAGACTTTGTGTGTACTTACATTTTTATTCACAAACTTTTACTGAAAGTACCTACTACTTAGAAACATTTATACATACATAAACATGCAAAAAAATGGAAATTAGTCACTGACAACATAGGTTGAATAAACCATGTTACCTACCTCCCTAGTTCTATTTCCAAAGCAGCGCGCAGCAAGGCTTTGTGCCCAGAAGAGGCCTTCAGCAATGTGCGGCCAAATAGAACTTAAGGAGAGGGCTTATTTAGGGCTGATTTACTCCATTTACTCAGAGAATACTGCGCATCTCCCTCTATTAGGCACCTGTTTGTGTGAGCTTTTTAGGAGATATATTTTATATACACTAAAAATCACCAATTTTAAGCAAAAAAAATTCTATGAGTTTGTTTACATGTTTGTCAAAATTGTTGGCTTTTAATTTTTGTTTATTGCTTGTTCTCTTACTATTAAGACTTGAGAGATCTTTATATGTTCTAGATTCAAAGTTCTTTCTCAGATGTATGTTTTACAAATATATGCCCCGTGTGTTTGGTTTACCTTTGAATTTTCTTAACATATTTTCCAAATCACAACAGTTTTAATTTTGATAAAGTCATATTTATTAATCTTTCATTTATAATTTATGGGGTGAATTTTTGATTTAAGAAATCTTTGTCTAATCAATGCCAGAGCTCTTTCCTCCTGTACTTTATTCTAGAAGTTTTAATAGGTTCATTTATAGTTAATTTTTGAATATGGTTCAAAATGGCTTAAGGTTCATTTCTTTGCATATGGATCTAAAAGTTGCCTATTGACTGCCCTGCTGCTTTTGTTGAAAATTGTGTGGTTCCATATAAGTAAAACTGTTTCTAGACTGTGTTTTGTTCCATTTTTTTGCATGTCTATATTTGTATAAATACCATGTGGTTTTAATTACTAAAGTGTTAAGTTGTCCTATTTTATCTTCTTTATCAAAATACTTTTGCATATTCTAGATCCTTTGCATTTTCATAGATATTTCAGAATAAGGTGGTTGTTCCTATAAAAATGTTTCCTGGGATTTTGATGAGGATTGCACTGACTCCATAGTGCAATTTGTGAGGAATTGACATGTTAACAATATTGAGTTTTGTGATTCATGCGTGTGCTGTATTTTACTGTTGATCTAGATTTTTTACATTTTCCCTTATCAATGTTGTATAGTTTTCAATTTGTAGGTTGAGGAAATCTGTTCTTAAATTTATTATGATTTTGTATATTTTGAAGCTATTATTAATGGTACTGTTTTTAAAATTTCCTTTACAATTGTTCTTTGTTAGATTATAGAAATACATTTGATTTTTTCATGTACTGATCTCATATCCTTGATTTTGCTAACCTTACTTATTAGATCTAGTAGTTTTTGGACACCTGAAAAAAAAAAACTTTATTTTTAGAGAGGGGAAGGAAGAGAGGGAGAGAAACATCAATGTGTGGTTGCCTCTTGCGCGCCCCCTCCTGGGGACCTGGCCTGTAACCCAGGCATATGCCATAACTAGGAATTGAACCAGCGACCCTTTGGTTCACAAGCTGGCGCTCAATCCAGTGAGCTACACCAGCCAGGGCAGTTTTTGGAGATTTTTTAAAAAAGATTTTCTACGTTAATGATCATATGGTCTGTGAATAAAGATAGTTTACTTCTTTTCCAATCTAGTTTACTTTTGTTTTTTTTTCCCTTAATACACTGGCTGATACCTCCAATATAATGTAGAATTGTAGTAGTTTTTACCTGTTTACCATCAGTTAACCTTTATATGATTTTTTTAAAAAATATTTTATTTGTTTATTTTTAGAGAGAGGGGAAGAGAGGGAGAGAAACATCAATGTGTAGTTGCCTCTCATGCACCTGCTACTGGAGACCTGGCCCAAAACCCAGGCATTTGCCCTGACTGGGAATCGAACCAGGAACCCTTCCTTTGGTTTTGCAGGCCAGCACTCAGTCCGCTGAGCCACACCAGCCAGGACCTTTTTTATGATCTTAACTGCAGATTTTTCAGTGGTATCCTTAACCAGGATGAAGTTCTTTCTATTTTTTGTTGTTTGAGAGTTTTTATTTGGAAAGTTGTTGATTTTTTTCTGTGCTTTTCTGCATCCATTTAGATAATCAAATGGTTTTAGTTATATTAGTCTGTTAATACTGTAAATTACATTGACTTCATTCTCAGATAAGCTCCACATGGTCATGATGCATTATCCTCTTTATATATATGTATGTTGTTGGCTTACAAAAAAAGTTTGATTCTATGTCTGTGAGCTATTGATCTTTAGTTTCTGTAATATCTTTTTCCAGTTTCAGTATCAGGGAAATGAAAATCTAAGAAATTATGTTGGGAAGTATTCCTTCCTTTTCAGTTTTCTCAAGCAGTTTGTGTGGAATTGGTATTATTTTTTCCTCAAATCTTTGGTAGAATTCACCAAAGAAGTCACTTGAGGCTGGATTTTCTTTGTGGTAAGCTTTTGACTACAAATTCAACTTTTCCTTAGGTACAGGATTATTTCATGTGTTTCTTCTTGAATGAGCTTTAGTAATTTGTGTCTTTCAAAGAATTTTTCCAGTTTATTGAAGTTTTCTAATTTATTGGCATAAAGTTGCTTTATGCTTCCTTATTATCTTTTGAATGTCTGTAGAATCTGATGTGACGTTCCATGTCTCATTCTTGATGTCAGTAATTCATTCTATTTTTTCCTAATAATCATGACTACAAGTTTATTAATTTTACTCTTCTTCTCAGAAACCAACATTTGGTTTCATTGGTTTTTTCCCTTTACTTCCTGTTTTCCATTTTATTGAATTTTGCTCTTATGTATACTGTTTATTTTCTACACTTTGCTTTGGGTTTGATTTGCTCATTTTTTTGTTTATTAAGTCCAATTTGAGATTATTAGCTTAAACCTTCCTTTAGTAATTTAAGTGTTCATACCAAAACTTTTTATATAGGCAGTATTTTAGCTGCAAGCTGTGGTTACCTTATCATTTTTCCAAACATACAAAAAAAGGTAAAATAGTGATATAACATCTATATATTTATGTTTTTGATTCAATAATTATTAAGTTTCCAACTAAATGAGCAGCTTGAAAGTTAAAATTCATGATTTTAGAAGGTAGATTTTAAAATATTCTGATGTAATATTATATATGTATAGCCTTTTAGTATTTAATTTCATCTATGAAAACAATAGGTTTTCATGAGAACAGTTGTCATCATGAAGTTTTCTTCACATCGTAAACCATTATGTTCAATAGAATATAATTACTAATATACTAGTAAGAAAATACAAGAATAAATACACTCACAAAATGTGTAAGATAATTACAAAATTTATTAAAACCTCAGTTTTTAGAATAAAAGAAAGCAAATGTTAAATATCATTTATGGCTGTTGCAGTGTATCTGCTCTCAGGCATTCATTAAAAATACATTTTATCACTTTAAAAACTTTTTTTAAACTTTGGAGTTGTTATAGTCAGTATTTTATTTCTTGAATTAAATTTAATTTGTCTTTTGACTATTTCTTCCTTCAATATGACACAAATGTACCAAAAAGTAGCCTTTAGCATACTTGAAAAGTTTTAAACCTTTAACATTCCAATATCAGTATGTAGCACATTTGATTTATCACATTTTTAGTAGGAGTTGTATAACATAAACTTCATCCAAAATCACACAAATATTAAGAGAGTGTGACTCTAGGGAGTGGGGCTGGAATGGAAACTTACTTATCTGCTAATTTGATCACAATGTCAAGTCTGGGTCTGGTTGATTGTATTTTATTGTCACCACAGATATTTTTTCCTACTTTTTGCATGTCTAATAATTTTGATTTGAGTATTAAACATGAATTTTACTTTTTCTGTACTGGATATTTTTGTCTCTCTGTAAATATTTTTATTTTGAATACTCTCAAGTTACTTAGAAACATTTTGGTCCTTTTGAGTCCTTCTTTTAAAAAAGGAACCTGAGCAGTGTTTAATCTAGGGCTAATTATTTCCCACTACTGAGTCCGGACTCTTCTAGGTACTTTACCAAAGACAGAATTTCAGGTTTTCCAGCCTGGCTTTTGGGAACAGGTACTCTTACCAGTTTTGTGTAACAGGCTTATCTCTCTAAACCCTTGTAGAGTTTTTTTCTCCCAGACTTTGGAAATTTCCCCACATGCATGTGCTGATTAGTGTTTTACTGAATACTTAAGGCGAACTTCTTGAGGATTTCTGCATTTCTCTCCTTATGCTGTGTACTCTCCTGTGTACTCTAGGGCTTCTCTCTTCCTGGTCTCTGGGGCAGGAGGGGTGGAGGGGTCTCTTCCCCTTCCTTCTGCCAAGTTGGAGACTCCTGCTGGGAAATTTACTGTGGCGATGGTAGGGTTTACTTCATTTGTTTTTGTCCCTCAAGGAAC